TATGTGAAAAGTTTCATGTCGATATCGCCAGTAGTTCGCGAGATATTAAATGGTCACTTTTTCCAACCTTGGTGCTGCTTGAACTTGGCTACTGGTCCCCCCCTTCGAGGCGCCGCGCTCGACGTTGAAACGACTAGAACGTTCGGCCCGCAAAACTTTTACACGATAGAACCACTACGTATGACACGTTCACTAAATAACTTCGTGACACAGACGGATCCGATAAACAACCGTTAACCATTATTTATACACTACTACCGCAACACATTGCGATATAAACCACTGCCGTAACGACCGTTGCACAGCAGATTCGACACTGGCATTTCGGAACACAGACCCTCGATATCTTGTTCTCAATCAGAAATCGATATAATCGATATGCACACAAGTGCTTATACGAAAGGATATCGATTGTTATCGATTCAATAGCTTCGAAAGGTTGTTACACCTGTTCAGCCGCTAGTAAAATCGTAAAAAAAGGATCGTCGTAAATGTTAAACGTTCGAATCGCGACGTTACAAATAGACGGCGCGTGATAGCGAATAAATTATGCGAGTCCCATTATGCTCGGATCAATTGCAAGGTGTGCACGACCGATAAATTTGCGAGGCGACGTTCCCCGCAATATTCATGACGTCTACTTAACATTCTAACCTCTTAAGTGTCAATGTTTAACGATCTAATTCGATCGTTGCTTCTGAATCTACTTACCGTTTGCCGGTTTCCTAATCTCTCTGTAGACGCATATTTCAATCGGCAAAACGTGGGAGGCGGGTTCGAGGAATCGCGAATGGTTTACGGAGCTAGCGCGGCACAGATGCATAGCATTCTAACCGAGATCCACGAGAGAGAATGCCATGCATCACGGGAGCGGGTTCACCGATGCTCGATAGCAGATTTTTTCGAGAACATACGACGTACCGTGCGATTTAGATCCACGAAGAGACCCTGCCACGCCCTGCTTTCGACGTTGCCGTGTCCCCCCGCGATGGACGGCCCGTATAATAAGAAACGCGAATCAGTGGCCTCATCGTTCTCCCCCCGTATCGTTCGGTCGCGTGCGCGCTGCCCGGTCCTCGCGCGCGTTCGCCCTTGCTTATCACATTCTTGGCACAGCTTTAATTAGCTCGCCAGCATCTCCTTTGGTCGCGCTACGCTATACACTCTAAACGCTCTCTCGGTCTCTTTCGATTCATTTCACAAATCCGTGCACTCTCTCGCTCGGCCTATAGAAACGGACATCTTGATCTCCCGATGTTTACCGAACTTGTGTATGCAGTTTATGAACCATAGAACACAGCCTTTACGAGACGAGCGCGCGTCCTACGTGTGATCTATCGTATCTACGCATATCGATATATCGTACTGAAGATACCCGAAGTGTGGCGTTAACTCGGTGGTTTCGCCGGAATACTTGCTGGTGGCGTGAATCGGTAATTTACAGACGGTAACAAGCGATAATACGGTTGCAGCTAATATTTGCATTGAGTAATCGCATAACCGTATTCCAATGTTGAAGTTTTCCGACAGAAGCGTCTATTGGAAGCATTTCGTCTTGTGCGTCGAAGGATATTGAATTTTCAGTTCAGGATTTTAACGTAAAGTGCATCGAACAACGTGACGGAATCAAAATGATACACAACTCGTGCAAAAAATCAAAATCGGTGTTTTTGCGTTTGTTGTTTCGATTGTTTCCCCCCGATTCCTGTATCGTTCGGAATAGTTCGAAGAGTAACGAACCCTAAAGCCGGGCGATAGAAAGGCGATTAAGGAGGTTACTTTAAAGGCCGCGAACCACGGGGCCAGCGACGATGACGACGAAGAACAAAGGAGAGCATTGCTTATGCGGGGAAAAGAAGAAAAAGGAGGGGACGTGCCGTAAACTGCGTACCCGCGGCACGCCATCTACGTTGCCTTTGTATATTCCATGGTTGCGCAATGCCGCGCGGGACCGAGAATCCGAATGCGCGACGACGCACGCTCTCGGCATTTTTGCATTTGCGCAGCGGTCACAGGGTTGCGCAGCACTTACAGTGCAACAATTGATTACGCTTTGAAGGGAGGTGAAGACTCCGGTCGAATGAAAAAGAGTGACAGAGGGAGGGGAACGGGGGGAGGAGGGAGGAACTCTCGTGAAAGAGGGTACGCACTCCCATCCCGCTACGAACCGTCCGAGCAAGGGCACATCGGGGAAAGAGTCAGATTACGAAGCATTATGGGTACAGAGAGTAGTAGGAGAGGGGGAGAAGGGCGGAAAATGTAGACAAGGAGACGGAGAAAGGGGAAAGGTGTACACGTAGCGAGGAAGGGTGGGGAAAAATGTGCAAAGGAAGAAGAAGATCAGTCTCGGAGCAGAGCGTAGTGGTTATAAAGAGAAGCGGCATCGCCGCACGGCTACTTGGCTCTCCAGGGCCAGGATATTTCAATACCGACGGTGGTCGGCCACCGCCGACGCTGGGTACAGAGAGGGGAAATGGTTGTGCGACGATGTGCGCGCTCGTACATATACATATGTATGTAAATGTATATATGTACTATCCCCTCGTTCCCCTTTACCCATGCGCCCGCCCTACGCTTTGCACACACGACGCGATATATACGGCTTTACACAGCCGTGGGCGTTCAAGAGAAAGACAGAGAAGACAGAGAGAGAAACAGCGAGAAGGAAAGACGTGACGGAGACCAGTGGAACGGTAGCGCTTCGCTATTCGGGTTTCCTGCACGAGGGGAAGAGCGATGAAGAAGGGGGGTAAAGAGAGAGAGAGAGAGAGAGTGAGAAAGGGCGAGTCTGTCTCTGTTTTAACATACAGAGGGGGAAAGTTGCGGCAAAACGGAAAGGCTCGCATCAAGGGGAATGTAGGGACGCGCGCGGCACGGTGTAGGGGACCTCGAACCGAACCGTCGACCGACGACTGTGTCCGTGATCCCGCCTTCTCGACGAGTCGAGGGGAACCGACGTGGGCTGTGCCACTCGTCGATTGGTCGTCTTGCCGAGCGGGGTTCGGAGCGTTGGTGGCGCCTCGAGAATCCCACCAATCGAGCGCCACTGTCGTAGCTTTTTTATCCTGCTATTTACGCCGAAGGACGGAGAAGAGCAAGCTCCCCATCTGGCTCTCTCGCTCCGTTTCTATCCCTCTCCTTTTAACCGCTCTCCCTGTGTGTTCGTCGGCACGGGAGAGGACACTCTCGTTTCGGGATCCGTTGAGGTTGCACACGTTTTCACGAGAGGAACGCCGCCCGTTTTAACTGCGACGCGCTTCTATTCCTACATCGCTGTTACTGGATACCGTGAATTATCGTAATATATCGTGTTCGTGACCGCGTCGAACAGTTCTTTATTAAGGGTCTGTTTACTGTTAAAGCATCGTATATGCGGTGACTGATGCCGTGCGGCAGTGTTATGTAGTGTGTGACAGTACATCGCAAGAGGATACAGTGTTGCCGGATCGTGGGCGCGAATGCACAGCAAAAGCGGTACATTATTTCGCGCGACAGAGTGAATAAGATCGCATGTTTTGTTCGTGGTAAGATACAACGATCTATCGGTTTCGGTCGCAACGGAATATCGTGCACGGATACAGCGGCATAGTGGATTCTGGAATTTATTGGAGTACGCCAGTGACATTTGGTGCGGTGCTATCGACGAAATAGAGTTGGCAACGTCGCATCGACTGCTCTCGCACACAAATACACGCACACACGTACCTAGAAGGGAACTTGGGGTGGCTGGCTAGCAGGCAGGCGGCAGGCAGGCAAGCAGGCAGGCAGGCAGCTTTCTTGTTCCGAGGACGGCGCTCCTGGTCGCGCCGTCTCTCTTTTCTACCTCCATTGCGCTTGCTCTTCTTTCCCTCTTCTCCCTGCCCTTCTCGTCGTCAGTCACTCAATCACACTCTCCTTCTTTTGCTTTTCCTTTCTCTCTCCTTCTCATGTGCAGCGCACGTACCGTTGAGACCTTCTCCCTCCCCCTTTGGTGCTCTTTCTCTACTGTTACCCCCTCCTCTCCTAACCTCGAGCGGGTCGGGCGAGTCCACTAGGCTTGCGAGGGGAGTTCGGCAGACCTCGGCTCTAGTCGGCCTCGATCCGCAGAATGTGTTAGACGCTGTGAGTCGATCGCTCCAGTTTTGGAATATTCGCATACAGAGAGCTTGTCCGGTATTTACGGAGCTTGGAAACGTCTTTCCGCGTCTCGTTCGTCGATCCACGAGTTTCTAGTGCCTGTATCGACGTTAGTTTTCACCATCAGCTTGGGACGCATTCGACCAGCGTATATCCGTACGACGGCCATGTTTGGTGTTTACGAGGTGAGGGGGAATCGCTGACGTCACGAGTCCCGATCTCGCACGAAGGGAGCAGCAGCAGCACCAGCAGAAGCAGAAAACGTGTTGCCGGCCAACACAGACACCAAGTCCCGTACACGACTTCGAGGAAAAAAAGACGAAACGCAGTCGAGCGGGCCGTGTGCTCGACGAATATCGTACGCGTGGATTATTGTGCCGTGAACACACGAGAAAAGAACACGCGGCGCGCAAACTGTGCGGCCTAAAATTCCCTTCCCGATGGGACGTGCGTGTATGCCGACTTCGCTCGTGTTCGCCGGTCTTACCGCGACTACTAACCTTTCAAAAAACATCGGCCGCATTGCCGCCTCGCCGCTGAAATAGCAGCCACTCTAATCACCGTCGGTCGACTCCGATCAGTGCGGAAAACATCGAGCGATGCCTTGCGTTCTCGTATACGAGACAACACGTGCCGCATTTCGTCTCACATGATCGTCATTTAAAATGTTCAACACGTCGAGGATGCGATCGAATTGATCGCCCTTCGAAAACACGTGGTCATCGTATTTCATGTTGTGTCACGTCGTCGTTGTCGTGAAAACGCTAATAACGTTGTGCAAGCGTCCGGTGAAATTGGCGCTCCGTATTCAGCGGTGAAAACGACGATTCATTTTATTGTGTTTCCTTGTGTGTGTGTGTGTGTGTGTGTGTGTGTGTCATCTCGATTTTCAAAGTGTCGTGTACGCTCCAGTGTCGGTACATATGGTGTTACGTTGCTCGGTGTGGTTTATCAGTGATACGCATCACCCATTTATTGGATATAACTACAATTTTCACACACCTCTAACAAGCAAGGATTAAAACATCATGGATCTGGGTGACAGAGTTTACGCTGCGGAACGGATTACGAAGAAGAGGGAAAAGCGGGTAAGTAAGAGTAACGTGAACCGTCACCGTCAGGTAGCGCCACAATACGGATTCTGTTTGTCTATGCGCCGTTGCCGCTTTCTCCCCCCCTTCTCTTGCAGTCTTTTTCTCTGTCCCACTATCGTTCTAACAATTCTGCCCCTCCCGTAGCGATTTCTACAGTATACGACGATTCCCGATATCTCTCGTTGAACATCACAGACATTTTCCCGAATGTATACACTCTTCATACATAAAACGACACGATTTCCGTGAACTCTAATTACATTTTTCAATTTTCTTTATGCCTTTGTAAGCGTCTAATATCGACAACGATTCTTCCGAGAATTGAGTCACAGAGTCTTACTCTATAATCTGGACAACGAATTTTCTCAAAATCACAGAAATGTAAAATGTACCTTATCGTTGTATACATTTTTCGTGCATACTTAACATGTAGTTCAACCCGCTTATTGTTCGCGGAAAATATTGATTATTCTACATTTTTTTATTTTTGGAGTAACTTATCGAGGCTGGGAAACATTGAAAATTGACATAAATCATGCGAAAGACAGTTTTCAGCTGTGACCGGCTCATGCGCGATAAACCAACGTGTGCCCTATACCTGCACAGTTATGTCATTGTTTTCCAACTGTCACACTAGCTGCGCACTAGGACCGGTCGGCACGCTTTCGTTCGTTGGCCGACGGCCAATAGATGAGCCGTATCAGCGGCTCTTGTGGAAGTCAACGCGCCGCCCGTTTTATCGACCGCGTACGCGTCCAGATAGATTCGAAGATCCGCTCTTTGACGCAGACGCGCAAAACGGATCTTTGCGATCTGCTCGATTCCGACACGTCGTCGTCGTCGCTTAACAACGACTGGCGCCAACGGTTTTCTACAGACGGTTCGATGGATTGATAGGTTATGTACGTTAGTAAAATTGCGAACACCGGTGCGCTTGTTTTTCTTATCCCTGACGTTTCCGTATCTGTGTCACACGCATACCGATTTGGAGCACTGCGATTCGCGCTGCGCAATTGAATCGACGTTACGAGAATCTTCTAGATCTGAAACATTGCGAGCAGGTGTTAAAATTTAGCGTCCGGTTGCTTATGCGTGCTACATGCCGGAAGTAGAGAATACAAATTGGTCTGGACTGATTCGTTGGATCTTAAACGCAAGAAAAGGCCTTTATAATTTGACGTTGTAACCAATACTTTCACACTTATTGCATGTTGGAGCATACGTTATTTTTGGAGCAAGTTAACTATTCAAATTGGCGTTCAAATCTTAGAGACGGTATTTTAGATTGTATGATTATTTATACGATGAATGTTTTTAAATGAATCGTTTCATGTTCGCAGGGCAAAGTAGAGTATTTCGTGAAGTGGAAAGGATGGAGCAAAAAGTAAGTCGTAGCGATTGAGAGTTATTGATAGGTCGATTCAGAGGGAACCTGAATACAATTTTCTTCCTCCTTTCAGATACAACACATGGGAACCGGAAGAAAATATTTTAGACGTCAGGTTAATCGAATTATACGAGGAAAGTCAAAAAGGCGGAGATGTAGCCACGAGGAGACCTAGGCGGAGGGACACTAGATATAATGTAAGGGGACATTATATTTACATATTCGAAACGAGACGTATTATATCTAAGTTCAGGTAGTCGAAGGAAATCAGAAAAAACGTCAATTGTGCACTTTTCCGTTTATACAGGAACAAGTGCTGGCCAACCTGGTCGTCGAAGAAGAACCGGGCGGGGACGAAAGGGTCGGTGAAGACAGTCAAGACGAATCAACTACCGGCAGCACGTCAGCTCCCCGTCTAATTCCCGTTGCGCCTGACGAGGACACGCTTCCAAGTTCTCTCGACGGGCACGAATCACCCACCGTTCCAGAATTATCCGCGTCCGCGTTCAGCGTCGATTCAGATAGTTCTAATAGCAGCGTGGACAGTCCTTTGTTACCGAGGAGAGAACCGACGGGTACGAAGAGGAAGGCCGAGGTTCTCAGCAAAGAGTCTGGGAAAATCGGCGTTACCATCACCACAAGCAGTCCCAGCAGTGGTAGTGGAAGTCCACCGCCGAATAAGATTCCTCGATTATTACCTCTGAAGAGCAATCCCACGTCCCCTTCTTACCCCGTGAGTATATATATATATATATATATATGTATGTTTCTGTCCTGTTCAGCTTCGTCGCTAAATATATACAATATCACTGATTCTTCTTTATGGGATACTTCGATTACCTGACTCAGAACATAAATGGACTCTTTGGTGGACTAGTGTGTCTATCCTAGATGAAGTTCAAAGTGCTCTTTCTAAAGAGAATAATTAATACCACCAATGGTGTGCATATTAAGCTTGAAATTGCAACGTCTTCTTGTATTCGTTTCAGAGTCACAAAATTAATGGTAGAAGGCCGTCATCGTCCAGTGTAAAATCGACACCGGACGAACCGGTACCCGCGGTGCCGACAACACCGGCCCCAGCGGTACAGGACAAGAAACGTCCCGAGGCGGACGTGCCGCACGGTCCTCCACCCTCGCTACCGCGTGCACCGCCGGCACCTCTGTCGCCTCAGATAGACACGCCCCTAGAACAGCCTACCAAAAAGAGACACTTGTCCGAGCAAAAACAGGAGAAATCGAACGGAGCTGTGACAGTGGACGCGAACGGTCACAAATCGCCTAGCCCGACGGACTCTTACACGAATAACAACAGGTTACCGCCGGTCGTCAACGGACATCATAGTCATAACAACAACAACACCCATAACAATAACAATAACAACAATAGCAACAATAACAACAACAACAACAACACCACGACGTCGAATATCAAACAGACGGAAATCACGAAGACAGACATCTACGTTCCGCCTCTGTCCAGTCCCGGTACGGATTACTGGCACGCGAGGAATCCAGTCGCCGATCAGGTGTTCATTACAGACGTCACGGTGAATCTGAAAACCGTTACCATCAGGGAGTGTAAGACTGAAAAAGGATTCTTCCGGGAGAGGGATCCCAAGAGCGATATCTATTAACGTTCTTCGTTTAAGGACGTGTAATACTAATTGTGAATTAAGATTCAAATTACCTTGTACATATAAATTATTTTCACACGTCGAGTGGTAAGCCGAGAATATATAATGACTGTACCAAGCGATTAAAAAAAAAACAAAACAAAAAAATAACACTTTTCTAAGAAATCGACGGACCTCGTGGTCACGGACTATCGAAGACACATGTAAACATTCACCGACAAGTTTCCGATATTCGATCGTTGCGTACGGGAACAACAAACTTTTCAATATGTCGATATCCGTGGGTTTCCTTTAATCGGTATAAATGAGAACTATACGGGAACGACGATGGTACGGAGACTATCGTCGTCGCCGTCGCCGCGACGATTTCCCATGGAAACGATACGTCGTAGTTCGCGCATTGTGTGATATGCACTTGTACGTTTTAAACAGAAAGAAGAAAAAACGCTTGATAGACTTTTTAACTGAACGAGAAAAGATCTGAAGAGGACATTTAAAGAGGGTAGAATACGTTTTCTCAATTGATTGCATTTCCGCTTCGATTTAGAATTCTGCAGAGGTGAAACAGTGTGTATAAATTAGTGGAATTAATTTCGAATTTTACTATGGCAAATAGTACAGATCTGGGTAACAAAAATATTTTTCTAATTCGTTTTTAGAATAATCGAAGCAGCTTCGTAGAAGCGAATTTGAATGGAACAAAAAAAAAGGGAAAGTGAGAGAAAAAGATTTTTTCAAAGTATAGAAAACAAAACTGATGTTATCATCTTGACGACGTATTTCTCAGCATTATGATATTATATTGTATTTACTGATAAATATTTCATTTCCTTTTTTTTTTTTCTTTTAGCGAGTAAATAACGCATCGCAAAAGGGTATGCCATTCGTTTGTAGATGTTAAATTCATTTTTAGGGCATACTACCTGCATTGATTTTCACGTCAGGTTGTTGTAGCATTACAAGTTTCATGGGCACACACCCCCAGAACGGTGCAGAGAGGGTACGTGCGTGCACGTTCCGCCGGCACAGCACTCGATGACTTTGTAAACCATGTAAACATGTTTTTTTTTTTATCGGTTTCCAGTTTTGTTATAAAATTGATTTCGTGTTATTTAATGTTAGCTGTTGCATTTTTTTTTTATATGCCGTCGAATGTTTTTCATTTGTATTTAAGGGACTGACTGCGCATAAAATGTTCGACGACGAGATGCATAGGGTGACGCATAGTAAGAACGCGCGTGTGCGCGATATCGATGAAAACTTTATGCATATCCAGAGAACCATTTTATTTATGGACGGGGTTGTCTGTCGAGTGTGTCACCAAATAGATGTTCCTACCTCGAACGGTCATCCTCAAAAAGAAAATTGGGTACAACAACCGAATTCGAATCTGTAACGAAACCTTAACGAAAAGAAAAACAAACAACCACACGCTGTAATCTCGTGAGCATTGTTTCTAATTTTTAAAACGACTTCGCACCGTACCAATTCGCGTGCACATTCAGAACCAGTAAAAAAAAATCCGTGATATAGTTAAATAATGTAAGTGTAAAACTTATCGGAACATATACGTTGCTTATTTATTGTAACTAATATAAAGAAATTCATCGTTTTTAGATTTTTACGTTCTCTTAGTATTAGTATTATTAGACTGTGTACGCAATGCGTCCCGTTTAAGGAAACACCTGATTCGAGGGAAACGTTTTTCCTATGATTTCAAGTATTCGTATCCGCTGATCGTGAATGAAATAACGAATATTCCATGGACCGCTTAAATATTTTGTATAGAATGTACAATCTATTCCCAGCCACGAAAAGAAAAAATAAAATTTTTTTTTTTTTTATTTGAAGTTGGGGCTATTTGTGTACAATTAGGTCGTGGTTTCGTGCAACCCGATTATGCACCGGACCGAATGCACGTTTCAGTTGTTGTAATTTAATGCTGTACATTGAGAGATGAAAGAGAGAGGTATACTTGTAAAAATTGTACATAGAACTTAAACACTCTATGATAATGGAGCGAAAGAACCGCGTAGCGTTTAGACCGTTCAGTTATTTGTAAATAGAGACGAAGCGAGAGAACCCCTTTTAAGTTGTACATGTAAATCGCAACTGCAGGTCTAGAGGAGATCCTTTTTAGCTTTAGAACTTTTGAGATAGACTGTGCGCGTACCTTCAATATTGTTTCTGTACTTATAGAAATATTCAGACTACTTATACGATACACACAATGGGAGGAAAAAGAAATAATGAAGTTTAACCAGCGAATTACGCAGGCATATACGATATGTGAACCCCGGTAGTACCAAATTCAACGGTAATTTTAGTTCTGTCTGGTACAGATTCCTTATATTTCAATAAAATCTTTACTTGAATTTCGCTTGCGTACACTATTTATTTCCCCCTACATCTGACACTAAACTTGTACCTTCTAAAATATTTTCTTTTTTTTTTAAAGTCTGACTTATACATACTATACTGTATTAGATAGTGTGCACTCTTAAGAAAGTGTAAAATAACGGTTATTTTAAACTATTTTCCTCAACCAACGGATATTGCAATCGGATGTTCAATGTCTCAAATTTTTTTTTACCAATATGACAGCATAACTATGTTCTAAATTCTATTTGAGATTAATTTGCAATGAATATCGATTTTTTATGCTTAATGCAAGCATAGTACAATAGACATTCGTTTATTGTATCTTTCGGGGTTGTAGTTGTAGGGTGCCAAATTTCCAGGAATGATAGAACAAACGAGGACCAATCACACTCGCGCTCTTCCCGTCGATCGTCCATTCACTTGTTCGACGTAGCTAAGTATGTATAGGGTGGGCTGGACGAACGCACTGTTACAGACGAGGTATGTATATATATGTCAATATAAACAGACCCATCATCCAATGTTTTTTCATGGCCAGGTTTTGTGGGGTCTCAGGACCTCATTACCATTTCAGTGTCAATGCCCGACGTTACTGATTAACATTTTAGTACAGCAGACGCTCGACAATTGATCATCTTGGGACTGTAATGTAGTGGGCCAAATTTCCAGAAACTAATCAATTAAAGAGTCTCAATTACCCGCCCGCGCTATGTAACCCCCATAGAATTTTAGTGTAAACATCCAATGTTACCGATAAACCATGAATTCTGAATACTATGAACACAAATGGAGCATTCTATGTATATTCAATTCATATTACGTGTATCTAACATGATTTGACGGGAATAAAAATATCCGACGTTTCGGTTTAAAGGATGAAAATTAATTTTATTGTTCTAAATGCATCATCAATGGGCATTTTAGTAATGTTACTTTTTACATGTTCCTTTTTCTTCGTTTTGATATATTTTTTATCTCATAACGTGATATAAAAATCTTAATAATACGAACCATCAATTACCTTCTGGCAATTGTTGGATGTTTATATATAACTTTATTTAGACATCATTTATTTGCAATAATTTTATTTCGACCGAACTAGAGCACAATTAGCCAAACTTCTACAGTATTGCCAATTCCGTATTTTCTCCATAAAGAAAAGCTTTTATCTATTATTTAATTGGTAATATATGTCAGATTGTATTTCATAAACGTTGCCGTAATTGTCAAATAGACAGGAGGTATTTGTCACAGATGGTACTCAGAAAAAAATGGTGTGTTTCGAAACTTTGAGAAAGCGGCAGTAAAAGTACCACTAGGCTATTGTGCCTACATCAATACTTTCCATCCAAAACGAATTGAAATAACAAATTTTCGAAAGTAGCCTGGGATATGTACGCAGTTGAATTCATTCATTAGTCGTAGGGTACATTGGAATGTAAGCTTTCGAAAATGGTCAAACAAAGGCACAAAACATATGGCTCTGACATTGTTTATAACCATCGAAGTTCTGCGAAATGAAATTTCTGGGAAATCGTCCTTGTGCGTCTGTTGTGGGTCAGTACCCGTTGAGCTAACTGCAGGTATATGTACAAAAAAAAGGTCGTACGGAAACGTAATATGGTGCTGAATATTCTATTCCGTTAAAATAGGAATTGGAGTGTGTAGGGTGAACAGTTACCCTCACCCACCCAACCACCAATCACGATGTCCCTAAGATAACCACGACCAGTCAAAGACGACCTAAGCGTCATTCGTACCGAAGAAGTCAGACTGATAAGACGTGAAGTGAGCTCGCTCCCGCTGAAGAGTTAGTACGTGATCTTTACTTTTCACATCTGATCATTTATACCAAGTGCCTTCGTTAGCTTTGTCGTTACTTTTGTTTAATATTTATTCGTTTAATATTCATTCAGTTTCGAGTAAATTATCGTAAGTTAATTCGATATTACGGGACAAGGTGATCGGTCTTCGCGACTTCCTTTGTTCATCCTCGTAATATTTACGGATTTCTGATTCCATTTACAATCTTTTACGACACATTTCGAATACAATAGATGCTTCTTCGTAACGATACCATCGGTAATTTAATGTAATTGCTTGGTTTAAACGCATTTATTTTCTGTTTCAGAACACCGGCTAGAAAGGACGTACCCCCTGACGCCATGGCAGTAGCAACACGCCAGAAGATTGGTGAAACATGGTAATATGTTGTAAGAAATAGGTGATAATCTACTATATATTTTTATTTTATCGTGTTTCTATTTTCTCTGGCTGTAAGCATGATCGCGATTTTTTTATTTATTGCGCAAAGATCGAACGAGAATACTTCCGGCAAGTATCTATGTACTTCGAATTTAACTGCGCAGTTGAAGAATTCAAAATGGCTACCGTGGCTGTTTCATACATTTCATACATTTAAATCCGAAATATTCGTAATTTACTGTGTCACGGTCGCGAAATTATTTTAATATTAATAATTTCACCTGTCTATCTTTATGAAATCATCGTGTTTGCATTTGCATACAGTTTCGGTTGTAAGTTTGATTATATATATAGATACTGCGTAATTTATTGTGCTCATCGAAGCACTGGTAAATAACGAAACTTTGATATTTGCAATGATTTTCGGAATATTTACAAAAATCGGGACGTGGCTTAGATAGAGAAAATGAACGTGCTTACAGCTTTAACAACAAATGTCTTTAATATAATACATAAATATTAAATATATAAGTATAACAGATTTAATATATTTATATTGAATTGAATAATTATTCTGTAATATTTAATAATATTTGAGCTCACGTTAATTATTGAAAGGCAGTATTTTCTCGATAAACACTTGGTTGGGTACAGAAACTAAAACAGTAGGCAGGCACAAGTGTGCCGTATTTCCCATGTACTTTTCTTTCAGAGAATTTTGTGGCCGCGCGCAATGCGGTCGAATAGAGTCAGTGTTTATATCGTACAAGATTTTTAAAAGTTTATGCGGAGCGAACTGGCTCCGTGTAGAATCTCACCGGAGATGTTAGGTTTTCGCGAAATTAGAGTCAATATTTATTGCGTGTTATCAATTACTGTCAGAGTGTCCGGACACTTTTTGCTTTTTGAGTCGCAAAAGTAGAGTCAGTGCATCACCGAAGAAAATATTTTTGCGCAGCTCTGTTTACAGAGGATGTAAGTATCTTTGTATTTTATTAATTACACTATTCAATTGAAACAGCTAGAATTTTGAGAGGAGGTTGTAACGATTTCTGTTCCTTTTTTATCAGATTCATCAGGCGCTGTATCAACGAGCATTGCAGAGGA